TAAGTTCCTATAATATGAACAATCAACAGGCAAAGTTTCACAAAAATCTCAGTGCAAGTTCTATTTCAGTGGAATGACCTTAATTGTTGCCTGTAATTACACTTGAGGACAGTGCCCGCTAAATACGACTGGTCTTTTTTGCCAGATTTGGACCATAAGGATAAAGTAGTTTGGAATCGAATCCACAAAGGAAACCGGGGGTAACCACACACTTTTCTGAGATAATTAGCCTTGAATCTCAAACAAAAATGCTGATGTCACCATTTTCCTATAAATTAAGAAGGAAAATATATTTCGTTAAAGATTTCATGAAAATTCACTTTTGCCAAGTTTTGTTATCTTTTAACAACAGCGCTTTTAGCATCCCTGACAGCTCTCCTTCTGGTTTAGCTAAAATACAATCTAAATAGCCTTTCCTCACAACCAGATTAGGCTTGCCACTTCCATTTCATAACATAAAATGTGGTGGTAACCACGCATTTTTAAAACTGAGTCAAATGAATATTTGTTATTTTTTGAAAACTTTTTCAGCACCCTTTACATTTTTTCTTGAATATCTATAGTATCATTTGACGGGCCATATGCATATCTGTTTTATGTCAAATTGTTTAGTGGGTAACCCGAAAACACGACCTCCGGTCCGCGGACCCCCACAATGGACCAGGTACGTGGACTACCTTATGGACTGGTCCATGCACTACCCCTACGGACCCCCTCTATGGACCACCCTAAAATAGTGTTAAAATAATAAATAAAGATTTCACTTATGGGTTGTCTAATAGATTCAGACTCGTGTCGGTGATTTTTCGATTGTTGCACTGTGCAAATGTAACAGACTTGTGTTTTTAACAGCCCACCCCATCCCCAAAATAAAATGCCTAAAAGCTGTTTTCAACATAAGGAGATGCCGATGGTAAGAAGGAAAGTTCTTACCTTCCATTCATGGCTCAATTTGGCTATGGAGGATATATTTTTAGGCTGTTAATTGTTGTTGTATCTGTTATTTCACTGAGCAAATTGTGAAGCCTGGAACTAGTTCACGAACCTACAGGAGAACGGACTGGAGAAAATGGCAGCGGAGGCTTCCCCATATGCGTCTTTCGTCTACTTTATGGCCACAGCAAAGGAAATGGCAATGTGTAATGATTTAAATTGCACCCGAGCCTGAATCCAGGTCTGTTACGTTTGCACAATGTAACGTTCAAAATTTTGCCATCATGAGTAATCTATTAGACAACCCGTTACTGAAATATTTATTTATTATTTTTATTATATCTTAGGGGGTGGTCCATAGAGTGGGTCCATGGGGGGAGTCCATGGGGGGAGTCCATGGACTGAGTCCATGGACTGGTCCATAGGTAGTCCGCAGACCCGGTCCATAGTAGGGGTCCACGGACCGGGGGTCAGTGTTTTCGGGTTAACCTTGTTTAGTTCTTATTATCTTTTTCCTGGTTCTGATTTTGGCTTCAAATTACGGTATATTTTAAACACTGACCTGGACCTTTTGAAGTCGCTTGCACATTTTTGGAAAAAAATCTGTCTGGATTAAGATAGCTCTCTCCGAGGCAAAGATAGCAGCATCTTATGCTAATACGATACATAAAATTAATGTAGCTTCTGTTTATAAAGTTCAAAGTCAAATCAAATCCTTCAGAATCTTAGCTGTCTTCATGTAGATCAAAGAAAAAAAGGAAAAAGAGTGGGAATCTGGGAAACAGATTGTTTATGTTGGTTATTGTGACGTGAAATTCAACACGTAAGATCAATCTAGCACCAAAGGAAATACCTTGTACCTTGCATGCCTGCCGTGGTTGAGAGGCATCACAAAACCTTGGTATACCGGTAAGTCAGCAACGCATTTTAAAGAAGCAAAGTGTGTTCTTATTTCCCAACACAGACACAGTCAAGTCATTGTTTGAGTTCAGGTCAATCCAGGCAGCAAAGTCTAAAAGCATTTTTTTGCCAAAGAAAAAAAACCCTCTCGTGAGTTGTTCCCAGTTGCCAAGTGTTACCAGTGTCAAAGTTTGGAAAGGGAGAACTGATTTTAGCGTGATAAAATATGTCTTGCTTTGACCGTCATCTTTTCTCGCGCGTGAGTTGAAGACATGCATTGTGATCACCTTCTGTGGACATTTCATGGCCTAGTAAACAACAATAAACTCACTACAATATAAGTAGAGGAAATGGATTTGTTGAATTAATTAATACAGGGAGTCCCACAGACAATGGTCAACAAGTAACAATCAACTGCAACAGAGATATCATTTCAAGTCCGCATGATTTGTAGTGTTTCGAACTTCTGGGATCAGGGGACAGAACCCTAACCTCAAGAGCTTCCTGAAATCAACATGTTACTGTTCATGTTAGTGAAATGAGCATCTCAATGATTGCGTATTCTCGTAGAATCAACCTTTTACTGTTTCCTAAAGCAACTGGCACCTATGTTATGAAGCTTACTTTGGCATAGACATTTTTGTAGAGCTCTATGACTCTACGCTTTTGTCACCAGTCTCCTCCTAGGTGTTGGAAAGATATATTACCTACTTCATAGCTTTTACCATAGTTGTGTATTGTTACTATGGTTACCTGCCTAATTCGTAACATTTGATTTCAATTTGTAGCATATTCTTCGCATATATCTCATATATATTAAAGTGTTATTAAAGTGTTATTACAGTTTACAATGCTTTAATCGTTTTATATTTAAAAAATGTATTGAGTTTACCCTCTACCATCTATGCTCTATGCTCTATGGTTCTATCTACGGGCCGGCGTAGAGGCTCACAGTTATTGTAACAAATATTAAAGTGCATGGGGAATGTTTAGTGTTATTACAGTTCACAAAATCTTAATAATCTTTTTAATGTACATGTACAATACAGTAGGCCCTTTGCAGCTAAGCCATCATGTGACCTACTTTTCATAAAATCATGGGCTATAACTTGACGAATGCCAGAAATGGAAAAAGCATGTCGAAAATATCAAAATGGCCAAGTTTGAAGCCCCCATCATCAGAGAATGAGATTTTATGACAGTCTGAATTTTTGAAAGAATAAGAAGATTTGTATGGAAAAAGTTATTGGGAAGTTATTCCATACAAATCCTCTAAATTTTCCGAAAATTCAAACTGTGGTATAAACTTACTCGTGAATTCCTGGGGCCTCAAACTTGGCCATTTTGGTATTTTTGATGTGCTCTTTCCATTTCTGGCATTCTTAATTAAGTTATAGCCCATAATATAAAAATTTTCTAGGAAAAATTTGGTCATGTGTCCCCAGCTGCAAAGGGCCTATTCTGTATTGAGTTTACCTTCTACGCTCTGTGCTCTACGCTATATGTTCTACCATCTACGTTCTACTCTCCATGTTCTACCAGCTACTCTCTTCAATCTTTGCTCTATGCTCTAGGATCTACCCTCTAAGCACATCTGCTTGGAAGGTTATTGGAATTTTTTAATTTTTTAACAAAGACCAGTGAGCAGCACAAAGGAAGACTTCTTGTAGTTGTAAGCTTTTTTGTTTATTTCCGATACGCTTCGTCTCTATCTGAGACTTCTTCAGGGAATGATTAAGGCGTGCCTAAGTTTAACTTCCCATGGAAGTGAATAACTGCTGAAACATGTTGTAAACGGACATTACAAGAAACGCCTTAATGCATATGCTATTGCATGTTGTTATATTTTGGGGGCCATACGATTAGCGCTGACTGTGTGGCCCCTGAAATATAAAAAAAAGTTTAAAAATTTAAAAAAATTTTTTTAAAAAGATCAAAAATGTTTTTTTGTTTGGAAGGGTCCCAAAGAAATCCTATTAGAGTTTCATAGTTGTCTCTATAGCAAGAATGATCGTATCAAACTTGCATACTGTGTTATTGACGAAAGTAGTATTTCGTTTCTCGATTTATTTCTTTACAAACTTAAGATGCTAATTTTAGCACTCTGCAGTTTTCTACCTATCAAAAGCCACGAAATAAGTATCTGTACATTCCTTTTGAGTTGTTTCATCCCATGAGCAACAAGAGGGCCTTTATTAGAGGCAAGCTTATGTGCTATACTAGAAATAGCTCCACGTTTAAAGCCTTTAATGAAACGCGAGAAATTCTGGAAGCACCTCGGACTTCGCAGTTACCCAGTTGGGTGTTACTTCCTTTATTAAGGGAGGTTAAATGCAGTAACAGAACCAAATGGCTTTCGCTAAAACGTAAATCGTGCAACGGTAGAATGGTAGTCTTTAAATGTACATTTAACTGTAGTCGTGCTAACTGATGTGAAGGACACTTTGCTNCTACTACTACTACTAACATCAAGCTGGTTATCCAGAGACATTTACCAGACTTACACTGTATTGTCAGTTATAAATCTACTACTACTTTAGCACATCTATGTAAATAGCATGTTTTTGGGGGGCCATATGATTAGCGCTAATCGAATGGCTCCCAAAAATATAACAACATGCAATAACATATGCATTAAAGTGCCTATGAAGTAAAAAATAATTGCTGCTTATTTGCGAGGCTTTTCAAAGTAAAGAAGAATGGCGTTTTCCTTTTTGGAATATCTTTTTTCATTTAAGAGATATTTACGTTTTTGTAAGGAAAGTGATGACATCATAGGTGGTTCCACTAAAACAGCACAACACTCGATCAAGAATAACTCTAGAAATATTAAAGCAGTGTTCTTTAAACTTGGCACCAGAAATGTACATCACAAAAGAAACATACCGGGGTAATGACACCTGTCGTGCCATTGCCATGACAACAGTTATGTGGCTGGTTCTGTCTTAATTAAGACTAAAATTCCCAGATTTTATCTTAAACAAGGATCATCCACTCCCACCAATCTAATGGGGAGAGTAGCTTTACTTAAATCAAATTGTGCCAGGGGTGTAGCCAGCATTTTTGCATAGAGGGGTTCCTACTATAGTATCGGTGACCCAATTAAAATGAGAATCCAGCACCGAAGGTGCTCTTTGCTAGGGAGGTCTGGGGGCATGTTCCCCGGAAAAGTTTGGTATTCTAGGTCCTCAGAGATAGCATTTCCTTGATTTTGAGCACAAATTTCGAATTATCTCAGCAGTGCCAAGCGTAACTAGGATTTCCAAGAGGAGATTGCAAATCTCGCTTCCTAAAGAAACACTAACAAAATTAAAAATGGATAAGACTGTAGTCTTATGATTTACCATTTACTCAGCTAAGATGTAGATCTTCAAGAAGGAGGCATCTTGGATGCTTTCCTACAAAAAGGTTGGTTGTTTTACTAACTTCTATTTGCCCGTTGTAATGAATTTGCATTAGGGCAAGTCCAGACTCAAGTGAGTCTTTAGTCGGCGCAATGTGCTAAACAATTGTTCCAGGCAGTTTCAGGTAGTTTCCCGAATTGAATTGCAAACAGCCGTACATTTGACAGAGCTTCTAGTGCTCTTACTGTAGATGGGAAAAGTGCAAGGAAAACTTCATGTCCTTTTACCTTTCAACCCACCATGTTCGACACAAGTTGAGCACATTTGTTTAGCTGGCCTCTGGTATTTCTTTCTCAATTATGGCTAGCAAAAGCTAGTTACGCTTCGGTGAATACTTAAACCATTGTAAACTTCACTGAATGTTCCAAAAGCATGTTTCTTATAAGGGGTTGATCACAGGAACGAACAATTGGGAAGTTCAGACAGTGAGCCCTGCAGTGTGTGTACACAGCCTTTAGACTTTTTTCCTGTATCAGTGCTTGTGCGCCTCGCTTAGTAGAACATGTTAGACGCTCCATTGTACTGTTGCCCCCAACAGTTTTTTATGTCTAAGTCGTAACCCAAAAGGAGGGTTCCGGAACCCCTGGAACCCTCCCCTGGCTATGCCCAGGCTGCTTATCTAGTAGCAGGATTATATCACCAAGCTTGTTAGAGCTTTTCAGGGGACATCACCCCAATCCAAGTTGTTGAAGAAACAAGTTCTAGTAGTAATAGATGTCCAACAGTAGGAATTAAATGAAGACATGACGATAGATGCAAATGTGGTGATAACACTACTGGAAAAAGACTTGAAATTTTTTTCAGGTCTTTTTCCAGTAGTGTTATGGCTGCATTTGCATCTATCATCAAGTTCTAGTAGCTTTACTTGTTATGGTAAATTAAACTGTACCTGATACCAGTGCAATGATATTGTTGTTTTCCATATTTTCACATCAACAGTCGTCAGGTGATACAATTTCTGTTTATTTTGTGTGTATTGTTTTTAGCTGCATTGCAGTGAGCTTGACAATGACAGTGCACCCAACCTGCAGTCCATCACTGAGCAAAGTGCTTTGGATGATTTCCTGGCAACAGCTGAACTGGCTGGCACTGAGTTTACTGCAGGTAAAGGGTTAATTATTTACAGAGCTAATGAAATACACTTTATCTCACTGATAATTTGCCTGCAACATAAACCTTTTGCATTACAAAGTTCTTCTTTGCCCTTTACTTGTACCTTTATAGATCTGCATTATAAACTGTATACTCTTCTTGCTCAACAGTGTTGTTGACATATAAACTACACTTTTAGAATATGGTGATAAGGGTTGCCATCTCTTCTAAAATGTTGAAACAGAGACAATGCATCACAACCCGGCATAGATTTGAATTCAAATAAAATCTTCATTTATCTTTCATATATTCTTGGGCAAAGTAGGGAATGCAGTGCCAACAAAAACTCTCCAGTGACTATCTATTGGATGAAAATTGTGACTAACATGATTTCACAATCCTAGTAACATGATGTGACGTACCTGTTATAATCCCTAACTTAGTTGCGACATGTGAGTTATTTGAAAACGAGTTGTGACAGTCACTAACAAGATTGACAAATATCTCTGACAAAATGTGTCATTCACCAATCCATCATACAACAGTTGGTGTGTGAATTTGTGTGTGCAGTAAAGATGCGCAGAAACAATTAGCATGAATGTCCTTAAATCTCTTCCACATTTTTCTTTTGACCAAAATGAACAATGCTGGTGAATGTGGATCAGTAAACATGAAAAACTTTTCAATTTTTGTGGAGTGTTGTTAGTAGTTATTTCAATGAAAATACACATGAAATGGCAACCTTGAGACAACTGTGGCATGCATATGTCACATACCACTTCTGTGTAAAAAAATGCATGTATATGCATGTGACTGGTTACAAAAGGCATGTTAAATGTGATCTAAATAACATTACCAAAAAGTATGTAATAAGGCTTTTCAGGCTATTACATGTGTGTAAAATTTGGTACATGCATGAAAATGCGCATATTTCACAATTTACACATTCCAGGTGCTGCAATACGTGTGAGCGGTACTGTAAATGTATAATTATATGATGTGGGTTCCCCTTTAACATGTGGAGTAGGAATGTACAGTTTGCAATGCAGACAAAGTTATCACTAAAATGTAGAGCTGTAGAAGCTAGACTACAGCTCATTACTGAATGATAACATTGTACCTACACCTATAACTGTAGAGCCCTAGAAATATACAGTTTATAGTGGAGAGATCCCCATACCTTAGAGAATTTAACCCATCAAGCCGTGAAAATTTGGTTGTCACATGATTGTCCATACAATGCCCATACGTGTGCCACATGCTCTAAGCATGCGTGTGTTTTTCAAGGTCTTTTACATCTGCACATGCTGCCTTGATTTACAACATACATATACACCTTCAATATTGGACATCCATTGTATGGTCAATTGACACCTGTCAAAACAAGGTATCCGCTGACTAATAAGGCAACTTGACAATAAGCCTTAGCAATAGTAGAGCTGTGAAAGCGATTTCAACAAAACCTAGATAGACTAAATGAAATCTTTTTGTGATAAAGAAAAGACTAACAATTCGTGACTTAGCAAATAACTACAACAATAAGAACTTACGTAATTTGGTTGACGACTTGCACCAAAAGGTAGCAGAGAGACAGCAAAATACACTTGAAATAGAGGTAACTTGGATCCTCTGATCATAGCACAGTAGTGTTGTAACTTAACCAACAATCTCTGACTAAAGGAAGTTGTGCATCGTCTTATATTGCCTATGCTACATGAAAAAACTAAGGCGTTGTGAGAGACGTGGCGCCCACAATAAAGACAACTTCCTAGCGGCAAAATTTCTAGAACTATTACATATGTGTGAAAATCACGATTTTATGAAAGCGTGATTTTGAAATCACGTACTTGGCTTGAATAATAACTGATAATAAATCAGTGGGAGTTTGCATAGGAAATTGATAAATGATCAGTGTTTCAAAACTAACAGAGGTCACATGTTTTGTTAAAGTGAACCGCTGACCAAGTACTGGCTTTTCGAGTGGATCGCAGGTTCAAACTAGGTTAACTTACTGTAATCCGGGTCGGGTTGTTCGGAACTGAGCTGGTTATTGCTAACCCAGGATTAAAAGTTAACCAAAGTATAAATCTTTCTTTTACAAGAGTGTTTCTCACTGCTTATGTTTTGTGTAGTTTGAGATTATTGAAACTCAGAAGGCCAAACAATATAAACAGAAACCTCACTGCCAACTTAAGGTTACAGTATACCTTCAGGGGTGTCTCGCGCGCAAGCGATGTAGCGTGTGTAGTTTAAGCTGTAGATACCTAAACCCCGATATCAAATTAAAGCTTATGGAGCTGGCTATCAAACTATACCAAGAATTTTGAAAGAAAATGAATTGTCGAATTTTTCACGACCACTAAATGC